CCTCCCTCTCTCATCTTGGGTTTTCCAAACCCTGCTTCTGGGTCTGGGTTCTGTCTTCTTTGTGATGAAGTAGAGCCCATCATGGGGACAATGACCATGTTCACCCATCTTCCATTCTGTTACCTGGTCAGCTCCTTCCTGAACATCCCCTCACTGCCTCTTTCCCTTTGTTTTTACCAGCCAAAAGTTGACAAATTCTCCTTTACCCTTAATCCTGTATGTCTACCCAGTCTTCTCAACTTTACCTTTTTTATGCAGGTTACACCTTTGGAGGTACAGCCACAACTCCCACCAGTGAGTATTCCTGGCCTTGATTTCTTGGGTCCTGTCTTCACTTGAAGTATGGGAAACAGCTGTTCTCCTCCTCGCCTCAATGAGGGAAACAGGTGGAAGGAAAGTGTCTTCAATTCTTCCCCTGGGTCTTGGTGGAGAGGATCCAAGCTGGGGTGAAGAGAGCTGACACACAGATCTGTTCACTGATCGCATTCTGACCAGAATGTCAGAGCAATTTTCATTTTAACTATCCCACAATCCTACCTTATTGCTGCTAAAATGAAAACTGAGGCAAAATAAGATTGAAAGAGTTTATTTGAGCACGTAGCATTTCATGAAGCAGGAAGTATTAAGCAGAAGATGGCTTTGGGCTCCCGCAAAGAAGGAAAGAAAAAGGCCTTTACTGGATAAACCAGAGTCAAAACCAAGAAAACGCTTGATTGGTTACAACAATGTGGTTCTTAATTGATCTATCCCAAGTCCTTAGTAGTATAATACGTTGGCTACATCTGGTTGATGAAGCTTAAGTTTCACTTTTTCCTTGCCACAAATATTTGTCAAAAATCTCCCGACTTCCACTTGTTTTTACAAATAAAGTAATGTCAGGTTTGTTTTCACAGCCTAATTGGATTTTGTGGTCTTCGGGGAGCTCTCAATCTCAGTCTTCATTTTATTTTATGGAGCTCTCAATCTCAGTCTTCATTTTATTTTATTGTAACAGTACTGTTTTCTTATCTTTTTAATTCATCTCTATTTTTTTGTTCTAAGAAACTCTCAGTATCAGTGTCACAATTGTTAGGTTTTCAGTAACCATTTATTGAAATCTCCCAGGCACTGCACTAAATTACACATCCTGTTAAGTCTTCCAGGGCTGCTGTAACAAAATAATACAGCCCATGTGGCTCAAATAACAGGTATTTATTTTGTCTTAGTTTTGGAGGCCAAAGTAAACATCGAGGTATTGATAGATTTGGTTTCTTCTGAGGCCTCTTTTCCTTGACATGAAGACAGCTGTGCTCTCCTTGGCTTCCCATGGTCTTTCCTTTGTGCATGTCTTACCCAGATCTTCTTTTATAAAGACCCTTACCATACTGGCTTAGGACCCAATATAATGACCCTGTTTTAAGTATTTCTTTGATGTCCGTCTCTCCAAATAGAGTCTCTTCTGGTAGTTTCAGCATCAAGTTAAAGGATAAACTTTATTTGCATTTCCAGCAAGCCTGAGATGAGAACTTTGTAGTTTTCAAGAGTGAATGATTCCTGAATTAAGGATTTATTTTCTCCACTCTCCAAAATGCTCCTTGGGTCCATGGCTGTCATCCTTTCCTTTTATTTTATTTTTGTTGTTGTTGTTGTTCCTTGCAAAAATAAGATTGCTCTGGGTTGCTAAAATCCAAAAATGGCCGTGTTCTCCAGAGCAATAGGAGGAAATGTAAGTTAATAACTTCTCTACTGACTATGTTTTCTAACATTAAGCTGCTTCTAGAGCGCTATACCAATTCTCTATATGTGAAAGAACAGTAAGGTGGCTGCATAGAGGGAGGGAGGGGGGATATTTGAATGATTGGAAGAGAAAATGATGGCTGCAAAGAAAAAGAAGAGAGGAATGGAGGAAAGATGGGTAATTGGGGAAAGGAAGAAAAGATCGATGCAAGGGAGGAAAGAGGAATGAATAGGTAGGTGAATAGATGGAAATAAATAGGAGGAAAGATGGAGAAAGCAAGGCAAGATTAGAGGGAAGGAAGGATGGGGAAGTTTGCACAAAATTCTGGGTAGAAATTCGTATGCTTAGGAAAAGAAGAGGAAGGAAAGATGCACGCATTCATGGGTGGATGGATGAAAGAGAGAGATAGGAGGAGGAAGAATAAATGAATAGGGAGAAGCAAAGACGAAAGAGCAGCGTCTCTCCAAACAAAGGAAGCAAGGGGACATTGCGTGCTTGTGCGAGATTAGCGACCTCCTCACTTGTAGAGGCGGCCATCTTGCTGGGCATGCGCAGTCTCTTCACACACTGACTTTTAAAAGGTCAGGTAGAAGTACTTCTGCGGTGGAGAACTTGGCACCGCAAGATTATAGCGGGCAGAATTTTCTCTTGGATACCTATAAGAAGATCTGGTTGGAGTTTAGCTAGTTCCAGCCTTTTCCTTGTGGTTCCTTCTGGAGACAAAAACTGTGAAAGGAGTTTAGCAGTCAGGAGCTTATCCCCAGCAACCACAGATACTCGACCCCAAGTCCTCACTTAGCAGTTCTCACTACACGCAGACCCTCACTCGTTGGAAAAAACAAAATCGCGGGTGTTACTGGGCCCTGTGCTGCATGCCTGAGGCAGGAAGAATGTAAATTCACGGCAAACCCGAGCGACTTAGTAGGAACCTGACTCAAAATTTAAGACAAACTGTATAAAGCGCTGGGGGGTGTGGCTCCGTGCAAAGGCCCTGAGGTCAATCCTCAGCACTACTAAAGCAAGCAAGCGGGCAAACAAATCTGCACTGGTATTTTCACAGAGAGGTCCGCCCTGTATGTGGGCAGGGGTAAAGCATCCAAATCCCGAAATCAGAGGAGCTTTCAATTCAGTGCTGAAGCTGTCGCCATTGACAAGTCGGCCTTGGTTTACCAGGAGACATGTAAAGGGCCTAGAGAGCCCAACTCCAGAGCACACACTGACCCCACCCCACCCCATTCCAACCGCCTCTTACCTAGCGTTCTACGGTGAGCTTGCTCTTCCTCCCACCCACAGCCGAGGTCCGCGAGGAGCTGTTCACAGTGAACTTCACCATCAACAACCTTCGCTACGCGGTGGACATGGGCCACCCTGGCTCCCTCAAGTTCAACATCACAGACACGGTCCTGGGGCACCTGGTGAGCAGCCTGCGGCCCTCTCCTACCCCTCCCGCCACATTCCAGGGCTGCTTCCTGTCGCTGACCAAGCCTGGCTCCCTTCTTCCTTTCCAGCTCAGCCCTTTGCTCCGGAGGAGTAGTCTGGGTGCTCGGTACACAGGATGCAGGCTCACCGCTCTGAGGTGAGAAACAGCTCCAAGCCCTGACGTCCCCTCCTCTCCACCCACCGCCCAAGGGAGGAGGACTTGGAGGTCAGACTCTGGGGCTGGGATGAACTATTGATATCCTCTTCTTTATGTTTTAAATTCTTCGTCTTTTTTTTTCATTTTACTATGTCGGTGATACATAATAAATACATCCAGTGTAGGGAACTGGTCATAGACATGAAGCACCTTGATCCTCTTGGCTTTTCATTCCTCCTCCCTTTCTCTCGTCCGTCTGCCCCACCCCCTGATCCCTTTCCCATAGCAAAGTCCACCTCCCCATTTTTTATCATCTGTATTTTATTGTGCTCTTTAAATTATATAGAGAGATATAGATTAGATAGAGATAGATATAGATACGATATTAGACACACACTGGGTTTAACACATAAAAGAAACCACATGCTATTTAACCTTCTGTGTCTGCTTTATTTCATCTAGCATTGTAGACTCAGGGTGCATCCATTCTCCTACAAATGACTCAATGCTGTGCTTTCTTATGGCTGAAATATATATATTACATCTTCTTTATCCATTCATCTGTTAATAGGCATAGAGGCCCCTCTCCAGATTTAGCTTTTATGCGTTGTCCAGCTATAAACAAGCTATGCACGTATCCCTGTGATGTGCTGTCTTTAACTCTTGGGGGAAGATACCTACAAGAGATACAGCTGGGTTGGATGGAATCTCTCTTTTTAGTTTTTAAGGAATCTCCCTTCTGGTTCCCAAAAGTTTTACATTCCCGCCATCGATGTTCAAGACTTCCTTTGTTTCTCGACCTCACTAACATTTTCTGTTTGTTTTTAAATTTTGGATGATAGCCATTCTTTGTGAGGTGAAAGAGAATCTCAGGGTTATTGCGATTCGCATTTCTCCAGCGGCCAACGGTGCTGAGTGTGTTTTCGTGTATCCCTTGGCCATTTGCATTTCTTCCTTGGAGAAGTGTCCGTTCCTCTCACTTGTCCATTTTCACCACTCCTGTTAAATACAGTTCTCATGTTATTGATTGTGTAACAATTCAATATTTCGTGGTGCTGAGTGCGGAACTCAGAGCACTGCACATGCGAGGCAAGTGTCCTACCACTGAGCTGTACCCCAGTTCCCACCATTTCACTTTCGAAATATAAAAAACATCTTCATATTGAAGGTACACAACTTGATGTCCTGATACATGTAGGGAAATGATGATGCACTGCAGCCAAATGAAACAGCTCACCTCTTTGCAGCTAGCATTTCTCTACCCTTTGAGCAGCGTCATCCTGTTCCTTCTCCTAGGCCCTGGCAAACATCATTCTCCTTTCTACTTCTACAAGGGTTATGCGTTAGACATTTTCGATACAACATATAAGTGAGAACATGTATATTTGTAATGTTTTATTATGAAAAAAATCTCAAATACGTAAAAATGTACCTATAGTCCACTTTCAATAGCTCACGGCCAACATTAGCTCACTGATCTTTTCCTTCCAACCCTCACTGCACTTGAGACATGTTCTCTGCACATATCACAAATGTTTTCGTGTCTATGTCTAAGGGGTACAGGTTCTTTTTTCTACTAATGATTTTAGTGATTTCATCATGCCTAAAAACTAATTCCCTCACAGGTTTGTAATGCCATGCAGTGAGTGCTTAGATTTTCTGTTCTCATAGATCAGTTTGCATGCTCTTGGTGTTTATTACGGATTTCATATTTTTCTTTCAATGGATACAGCTCCTCTGAGGCAGGGAGTGGGAACCACAGTGACAGGGCAGACTTTCTCTGCCTTCATCCAGTGGAGAAGAGCAGATGCTAAGCAGGAAATAAATATTTAGGTGATATGATTTCAAATGGGATAAGGCCATTTACAACACTAGAGAAAGCAGCTTTATCCGAAGATACTTTGGGGGGATACTGGGGATCGAACTCGGCTACTTGTGCTTGTGAGGCAGGTGCTGGAACCACTGAGCTAAGTCCCCAGCCCTAAAGACACTTTTGAGCTATGCCCCAGTAGTTTGCTGGCGAAGGAAAACTATCCCAAGCAAAGAGAACAGCATAGGCAAAGGTTCTGAGGTGAGAATAAACTTGTTTTCAGTGAACAGCGGAGACAGCGGTGTGACGAGAGCACAGAATGCAAGAGGGAAAGAGAAAAGGTGAGATTTGAGATACAAACAAGGTCTACACTCTTCAGAGTCTTGGAAGTTTCTCTTGTAATTATGGTAAAATACATTTAATTTACCACCTGTATTATTCATCTCCTCATTACCATGATGAAATACTCATTAACTTACAAAGGAAAAAAGATTAATTTCAACTTGTGATTCTGGAGGTTCCAGTCCAAGATGGCAGCCCCACTGATCTGGGCACATCATGGTAGGAGTGCGTAGTGGAGCAAACCACTTATATAAAGGTTGGAAAACAAAATAATATGACTGGTGTGGTCTCAACATCCCCTGTCATGATTTATGGACTTCCTAGGAGGCCCACCTCCTAAAAGTCCTTCACTTCACCCAACTGTGCCACCCTCAAGACCAAGCCTTTCACACACAAAAAATTAAAAGACTTCTAATCCAAGCCTTAGTATCGTCTTAACAACTTCTGGGGATACAGATCAATAGGTATCTTTACACTGTTGTGCAACTATTACCACCATTGGTCCCCAGAACTTTTTATCTTCCCCAACTGGACCCTCATTCAATATTGATGCCCTCTTCCTCCTCCCCAGCCCCTGCCACCCACCATTCTGTTTCTTGTATCTAGTAACTTGGTTCAAGGGACCTCCCATGTGGAGAATGTACTGTTTTCACCTTTTTGTGACTGGCTAATTTCAATTACCACGGGGAGATTCCTCAAAAAACTAAAATTAGAAATTCTATTTGACCCAACTATTCTCTTGAAGTATCTTCCCCAAAGAGTGAAAGACATCATGTTACAATACTATATGAATACCCATGTTTATAGCACCACAATTCATAAAAACAAAATCTTGAAGTGACCTATATGTCCATCAGCAGATGTATACGTAAAGAAAACATTGTGTTCACACACAATGGATCACTACTCTGCCACAAATAAAAATAAACTTGGCTCATTTGTGAGAAACTGGATGCACCTTGAAACCATAATGTTAAGTGAAATAAATTGGACACGTGGGCTTAAAATCACCTTGTAGCTGTACTGTATACTTAAAAAATACCAATAAATTCAATTTTAAAACAACACTTTCTCATACGTGAGATACCTAAAGTATAAATAAAGAGCAAAATAATAGATAACAAGTAGGGATAGATTGTTCTCAAGTGGGAATGGGATCAAGAGATGGAAGGCGGTGGGAGGCAGGAAAAAGGAAAGGGGATGAAAAAAGAAACTCCACAGAAGGTGTGTAAACATCACGTGCCGCAAACATGTACTAATAAAATTATAATACACCTGAAAACCATTATCTCCTCAAGGGTTAACCATTTTGTAACATCTCATGATTTTCTCCCTTTTCAGACTGAATAGCATTTCTTCTGTGTGATAATAATGCCACGTTTTCTTAGTCGTTCATGAGGCCTTTGATTTTTGCTCGGAGTAAGCAAATATGCTAGGCGGCAGGGCTTCGGGATAACAACAGTGAACTAGACCGGTCTGCTCCCCGCCTTTGTGTTCTGGATGGAACGAGGACAAGTGGTTTACGATAACACAGAGAGTGACCGTGCTGTGATAGGGAGAGGATGGGGGGCAGTGGGATCCGGAGGCATCCCCTGACCCGACGTGGGAAGGTTCTTTGAGAAAGTGAAGGGAGGAGGAAGAGGAGGAGGAAGGAGGGATGTCACCCAAGCTGAAATCGAAAGTGCCTGGGAAGTAACCCGTGAAGGAAGGAAGGAGAGAAACTTCTAGACAGAAGACCCTGAGATGGAAAGTATGTTTAGATGGGGTGCAGTGAACGGTTCAACAAGACCAGAAGGCAGGCTATGGGGTAGAGCGATGTCAGGGGCCTCCATTCCCAGCAGTACTGCTCTCCCTCTCCAGGCCTGTGAATAATGGTGCCCAGACAAGGGTGGACATCCTCTGCACCTACCGACAGTCCCGCGGCAGCCTGGGCCTGTCTGCCAAGCAGGTGTTCCATGAGCTGAGCAGGCAGACCCGTGGCATCACCAGGCTGGGTCCCTACTCTCTAGACAAAGACAGCCTCTACCTCAATGGTGAGTGACCCTCTGCCCCACTCCCTAGCCCCCTGCAGCCCGTGCGTGTGCCCAGTTACTGGTTTATTAGGGGTGGATTTGGAATTCAAACCCTGTCTTCACCTACCCAGCTCTCACAGCCATCACACAAAGCTATTCCTTGGTGAACCCCATTTTACAGATGAAGAAATGGAGGCTGGGATAGGTTAAGCAATTGTCCCAGATGGGTGTAGCGTGAGCCTCCATTTTCACCCTTCATTACCAGGCTCTGCCCTACATATTTAACTCACAGAAGATTTCCCGGAGAGACCTCAGGGGAAAAAGATGTCTGTATCCACATTCTGATTTTTTTTCTCACTCCTTATGATGGATACTCTTGGGTGGGTTCCCTGTGCTGGGAAGGAAGGCAGGCACCCTGAAACTCTGGGTGTCTGAGCTTCAAAATCGTTGGGCACTAACTAGCACCCATGTAGGATCAGGGCAGGACAGCAGCTGACCAAATCACTACCCTTCCCTTCTCTTGTCCTCAACCTGCAATGGAACTCAGTGTTATGGAAGGAATTGGCAAGTGACACACAGAGGCAGCAGAATGGAAGTAAAATAACAAAAGTTTACTCCACCCATGGGGATCGATGACACCTAATGGTGGTGCCCTGATCGATCCATTACTGGGCTACAACTCCCCCTCTTGTGGGGTTTTTACAGCCTTGATCTCATTCAGGTAGTTACATTGCCTTTCCACAGTTCACATTGCTGATATTCAAAACATGGTGGCCAGGCAGTTGAATTTCAACCCAGAAGTAACACGTCTTTGTTAGGGGAGGTTACCTTTAAGATTTATTTAGTTATCTATTCTAGCCAAAAGGAAGGGAGCCTGTTTGGACAGCAAAGCTAACAACGGTTCTTTTCATTTACAAAACTTTTGAGGGAGACTAGATACCTCCAGTAACGGTCAATTCTGAATTAAACAGAGTAAAGGGCAGAAGTTATCTTACTTTGTGAGATTTCATAGGGTTTTTGCTATTAAAGTTTCCCTTATAATACTGTCATCATACTTGCCCCATGAAGTCAGCAGGGAGACATTCCAGGCCTTCGTTACTCCTGTTTTTTAAAAAGAGAGAAACTGAATCACGGGGTGGACAGGGGACCTGCCCACACTCACAGTAAGTTCGTGGCCAATCTGGATCTTGGTGTTGACTTTTTATCTGGTTGCTTTGATTTGGCCATCAGAAGGTATGGTGTAGGGTCTTTCCCCATCATAAACTGCACAGATTATGTGATTCATTCTGTTGTCCAATCGGCATGTACTGTAACCCAGGCCTTGTACCTGGCTCCAAAGGCAGGGGTAACTTACATATGTGTCCTGTCCTAATAAAAATGCCAGTGGGGCAGAGACTGGTTCAACACCACCCTAAATATGAATGAGACCCTGGACATAACATACGCTTATTAAACATCCATTGGATGGAGACATAGATCAGAGGGAGGGTGGAAAGACAGATGGATGAATGTCTATGTAAAGGCAGAGAGGTGTAGGCATAAATCTTATGATAGCTTCTTGCTCAGGGCATCGTGTAGATGTGGGTAAGGAAGAGCCAAATCTAATATCGGGAAATTATTTTTCAAGGTGACATTTAAGACAGCTTCTAGAAGGTGAGGTGATGTTCACTAAGTACACACAAGAAAAGTTATCCAGGCAGAATCACGCACGTGGGTAAAGCATGGAGTGCAGGACTGTTGCCACCCCTTCCTTTATGTGTGACCTTTGTTTTTCAGGTTATAATGAACCTGGTCCAGAGGAGCCTCCCACAAGTACGTGTCTGTGTCCAGTGCCCTCTGCAGCCTCTGTAGGTCTTGGGCTGAGTCTTCTCTTCACTCACAAAGAAATCTTGCCCCAAACTCACACAATCTCCTGAGTCAAGCTAAGGTTTCAGTGACAGGAAGAATGCTGACTCCTTAGGCTGTTTTTGAATCTGCAGCTGTGGGGTTGAATTTCTGAATTTTTTCCGTGCTCCTCCGAGTCAGGGGTAGAACTTTGAGAATAAATTTCCTACAGGGTTGATTGAAGGGCCGGAGTCCGATGATGACCCATGTGACTTTTGCCTCCTTTCAGCAAAAGCTACAGGAGTCCCACCAGGGACTCACTGTCACCCGGAGAACTAGTGACTGTTCAAGTGGTTTTGACTAGAATTGCCCGTTTTCTCATTAGTGATCCACCCAACTATTTTCCCAGCGGTCAGTCCTTCCATATCTCCAGTGATGCCTTTTCCCAAATATCATCTTTCCAGCTCTCTGGTCATCCACCTGCCCATCCACCCATCCATCCATCCACCTAGACTTTTACCCTTTGCTGTTAGTCCTTTCTCCCTTCCATCCAGCCACTCCTTTGGCTACCCCCCATCACGCCCATTGACCTTATCCTTCCTTCCCTTTCCTCTTCTTCCATCTCTCCAATTTTTCTTCCTTTCTTTCTATTAATTTTGCCTTCTCTTTTGGCTCTTCATTTATCTATTCTTTCTTCTGTCTACTTCTTTAACCCTTCTATTTTCTGTCAGTCCGTTCATCTGTACTCTATGCTTCGGGTCTTGTTCATCCACTCTCCTTCCCTTGAGTCACTTCCATTCGAATGCTTGATCGTGCCTCTGTTCACACACCCACTAGTCCACTCAGTCTTGTATGTGTTCCATGTATGAATGGTTTTTCTGGCTCGGACCACTGACGGGGACCCAAGTGAGGTTAAAAGGGCTTCTCTCGCCCTCCGTGATGACGATGCTTTCCACAGCTCCTGCGCCAGCCACCACATTCCTGCCATCATCAACATCTGTGCAGCCAGAAGCCACAACAGGTACCAAGGGACCCCTTTTCCTCCCATATAATAATATCCCCCTGGAGAAGGTGTCTCAGTTACCTTTTCTCATGGCTGAGACAAAATATCTGACACTCAAAGTTAAAGGAAGAAAGGTTTACTGTAGCTCAGAGTTTGTAGGGGTTTCTGCCCATAACTGGTTGACTCCAAGGCAGCATGGCGTGACAGAGGGTCATTGTGAGGAGAAACAGTTCATGGCAGGCAGAAGGCGGCAAAAGCAGCAAGTGATAGCAGCAGCCCTCTTTCTGCCCCTTATATTCTATCCAGGCTGCATTCCCTTAGGGAGGGAAGCACTCACACCCTGGGAGAGCCTTCCCATTATCCACACCCAGAATGATGCCAAACCAATTAATGAACTAATTTAGTGACCACACACCCTTAATCCCAGCATCACACACTCTGGATCCAGCCACCTCCAAAACTCCCCACCTATGACCCCATGAGGCTTTGGGAGGACATCTACACTAATCATAACAGAAGGTGAAAGAGGGAGGGAGAGGGGGAAAGGAAGAGGACATTGAAACGGGGGTCAAAGAGGAAAAGGAAATAGGGGAGGAAAAAGAGGGGGATCCAGAAGAGGAATAATTAGATGATCTAACAGTCACATAAGAGCAAGGTAACCAGGATGTGAAGATCATAGTGCCAGCGTGATTGTTACAATCACGGATTGGTCTACCACTCTGGTCATATGCCTGCTGACCATTACCATGAAATGTAGGATTAGAGGGCACTATGGCACGATGCGGAAAGAGGCAGATTTTCTGAAGAAAACTCCACCTGAACTGAGTCTTACAATATGAGCAGAAGTGATTCGGATGGATAGGAAGGACATGAAGAGGATGCCTCGGAGAAGGCCTTGCGTGAGCAAAGCCTCAACAGCGCAGTGCGTGGGGAGATTTGATAGAACTTTGGTTTGCGTGGAGCATAGGTTTCAGCTCAGAGTGTGCGTACATGAGACTGAAAGGCCAACAGGAATCAGACTGGAAAGGAATGCAATGCCGCGAATCTCGAACTTAACCCTGAAGGCCACGGAGCATGGCAGGTGGTAGTACAGTAGAGTCAGCGCTAGTGAAATTTGCGTTTCAGAAATATTCTTGCAGTGTTCCACGTAGAGAAGTCCTCCACATCGAGTGTCCAGCGATGCTGTGGTGTTAGTCTGGGTCAGAGATGATAAGATCTGAGCTGGGAGGAGAAAGGAATGAGGGTGTGCCCAAAGAACACTCATCCAGGAGAGAAATGAAACAGGCAGGTTCCAACATGGGTGGCCACATTGACGAGAAATAGTGCTGCTGGGGGACAACCTGACAGATGATGAGTACAGGATTCCATCTGGCATCAGGCCAACTCTCACTTGTGGGCCTCTCTCCTCCTCCCTTCCTGCAGCCGTGGGGTACCCCCTGAAGACCCTCACACTCCGTTTCACCATCTCCAACCTCAAGTACTCACAAGACATGAGCCATGGATCAGCCAAGTTCAACTCCACTGAGAGGATGCTGCAGTACCTGGTGAGACCTTGGTCCAGCCACTGCTGGGGGAATAAATCCCACCCAGCACCTCCATAATCTGCTGTCTTCCTGACCTTCCTTTTCCTTCCTCCCCAGCTTGGGTCATTATTCCAGAAGACCATCCTGGGCCCCTTCTACTCAGGTTGCAATCTAACCTCCCTCAGGTGAGCTCACAGCCTGGCCACTCACCAGCAATGACCATCCCTTTCTGTGATCACCGCTTTTGCGGTTTTCGCACTGCCCTTTTTCTTGTTTCTCCTTCCTTCTGGTTCCCCTCCCCAGCCAAAGCTCTAAGAGTTTCTCTAGAGCCGCCATGCCCTTTTCTCTCAGGCCTGAGAAGGACAAAGAAGCCACTGGTGTGGATGTAATCTGCACCTATCATCCCGACCCCACGGGCTCTGGGCTGGACAGCAAGCAGCTGTACTGGGAGCTGAGCCAGCTGACCCATGGCGTCACTCAGCTGGGAAAGTACTCCCTAGACCAGAACAGCCTCTATGTCAATGGTGAGCAACAGCCAACTGTGCTGGGCTGCATTGCAGAGCCCACATTCTACCCTTCCAGGGCTCCTTGATTCCTTCTCCATCTCCCAACATCTCTTTCCTTCCCTCTCTCTATCTCTTTCTGCAGGTTACACACACCGGACTGCAGTAACAACCCCTAGTGGTGAGTGCTTGTTGACATCCCCCGTTCCCCAAGAACAGCCCCTACATGCTGGTAGGTAAGCCTCAAGATGCCCACATCTCTAGCCATAGGGAAAAGAAGGAGTGAAACACAGGCTGAGACGTTGTTGCTGTACAATCAGCCACGAACCATCTTCATGTTATCGGTTGGACACAGAGAAACAGCCATTAAATGTTGATTGAGTGACTAGGTGTGGTGCCTGCGACAGTATCACTTAGCCCAGGAGTTTTGAGACCATCGTGGGCAACATAGCAAGACCCCCCCCAAAAAAATATTGCTTGGGTGGATGGACAGAAGAAAATAATTGAACAATTGAGTAGAAACACTGTGTACAAAGATTTTAGACCTCTGTGCCTCTGTGTTGGGCCTAACTCTGTGACAGGGATGGCTTCTTTGTCAGTGGTGAGTGGTTATGCTGAACATAGATTTAGAGTGACCAGTACTCGCCCTTACTCTGTTTCCTGTCCTCTGTAAAACAGTCTGCCCAGGGCCTGAATGGGAGGCACCCTTTCCCAAAATGCTGTGGGGATGGCCTTTTCCGTTGTTTTAGAGAAATAGCATGGACTTCTTTGATCAAATTAATGTCATCAGTTTTAGTTTTTTTCAGTTTTTATCTCTCGTTCATTTTCCTCCAGTGTTATTGAGGTATAACTGGCAAATGAAATTGTGCATAGTTAGATGAACAATGCAATGATTTGATATATGTGTAACTTGTGCAATGATGACCACAAATTATTCAATGCATTCATCACTTCACATGATTATCGTGTATGTTATATATCTATATTTTTTTAATAATTTGTATAGATATGGGGGGTAAGATCACTCAGAAAATTTCAAGTATAGAATATGATATTATTTTTTTAAATGTTCTTTTTTGTTTTGTTTTGTTTTGTTTTGTTTTTGAGACAGGGTCTCACTATGTAGTTGAGACTGACCTGGAACTCACCATGTAGCCCAGGCTGGTCTCGAACTCATAGCGATCCTCCTGTCTCAGCCTCCCAAGTGCTGGGATTAAAGGCATGCACCACCACGCCCAGCTAGAATATGATATTATTAACCATAGCCATTATGCCTTATCACATAGTGGTTATAGACTTCCATAACTTTTTCATCTGATGGAAACATTTTACCTTTTTAAACATTTTGCTTTACTTTTTTACATTAAATTTATTTTGACTATCATTGGGGTACCATGCAGTGTATACATTTTGTAATGTTTGAATCGCGCTAAACTTATCTCTTCACAAAGGTATCATTTACAGTGAAAACTTCAAAATTCTTTCTTCTAGATGTTTTAAATACACAGTACACTATTGTTGTCTGTAGTTGCCCTACTATACAATAGCACGTGAGAACTTATCCTATCTGACATAAGACCCATTAAACAACCTTCTCCCCTCATCCCCTCTTCACCTCCTCAGCCTCAGTTTAACCCTCAGTCTGCTCTCCACTTCTGTGAGGTTGGCTGTTTTAGATTCCACTTGGGTGAGGTCACACAGCACGCGTCTCTCTGTGCCTGGTTTATTTTCTTTTTTTTTTTTAATTTTATTGAGTTTATTGGTACATTTTAGGGATACAGTACAGTTACATTCATTGTTGGGATCATGTACCTTTACATGGCAAGTCTTGATTCTCGTTTTTTCCCCTTACCCCTGCCCTCCCTTCACCCCCTCCTCCCCTCCCCATCTACAAACACTTTATTTTCATCTTTTCATTCTCTCACATTTTTTTCTTTTCCCTTTTTGTTCTTCCCCTACGCATCACACCTTCCCTACACCTTTAGCTCCGTTCTTCAAATTTCTAATCGTCAGTAATCTTATTAGAATCTTATGCATTGTTGCAGAATATTCACACCAGGGACACTATTTGGTATTTACACATGTGTGACTTATTTATTTCACTTAGGAGTATGTCTTCAATATGTATCCATGTTCCTATGAATGAATCTATTCTCTTGCTCTTTATGGCTGAGTAATATTCCATTTTATAGAAAACTGGTTTATTTTCTTAATCTAATGCTCTCCAATTCCATCCATGTCACTGTAAATAACAGAGTTTTCTCCTGCGTGGGACTTTCAATTTTATGTTGGGTGAAAGTGGTAAAAAATGGATCTCTTTGTTATATTTCAGTTCTTAAAAAGAACTTTTCTCTATTCATATGATGTTACTAGTAAATTTGTCATAAATGGTTTTTGTGGTGTTTAAGCACAGTAAAGACAGCACGGCTACTATTAACAGGATAGTTGATGAGGGCTCGCTTAGAGAAAGGGTGAATCAAGGTGGGCTTTTAGGAACAATATATTATGTTCCAAAACTGTGCAAAGCACCAGAATAAGACATAAACAAGTAAGACACAAGTCCTTCCTTTCCTGGAACGCCATATCATTGGGTCCCAAAGCTAACGGAAGTAGAAGAGTGTTCCAGAAAGTGAGGACTAAGCAAAAGGAGGAAATCTCAGATCACAAGAACCCCTGTAAGATTCACTTTCACCCTCTTTGGGGTAACTTTCCACTTGGGAGCCCCCTGAAACCTCAGCTTGCAGGTTTCATTTTGGTGGATTCTGCCAGTGTGAAGAGGTCTCCCAGGGTGCTGTGACTTTGTGCAAAAAACTAAGACTCCCCATCTGTCTTTTCCTCCTCCCTGTGGCTGCAGGCTATGTAACCCAGAACGAAACCATCCGGGGTGAGTACCAGCTAAGTTTCCACATCCTCAACTGGAACCTCGGCGACCCAGACCCCACGTCTCCAGAGTACACTGCCTTGCTGAGGGACATCGAGGACAAGGTGAGTCCCTTCAGCCGCCCCATCTCCTCTTTCTCTTGGGGTCCCCTCATTGCTCCATCTGACACACATCCATTAAGTGAATGTTTCCACTCTTCGCTTTACTGGTGTGTCCTGGCTTCTCCAGACTTTCTCCGAGGTGGTGCCCTGGCTGCCTCTCTCCTTTCCTATATGGTCAGACTGAGGCTCAGAATGGGTGTGATATGCCTAAGGTCACCCAACAAGTTAGGGAAAGAGCCAAAATTTGAGCTTCAGTCTCCTTTGCTCCCAGGCCTGCATTCTTTCCATTGGTTCCAATGGCCCCTCCATCCTGAGAGATTTCCATCTCACCCACCCTACCTTCTCTTTTCTAGGTCACCACACTCTATACAGGCAGCCAGCTACACGATGTCTTCCAGTCCTGCCTGGTCACCAATTTGACGTAAGTTCTGAAGGTTGGAAGCCTCATCTGAACTGGTGCCTTATGGCTCTAAACTTCTGTGGTGTATCCTTAGGCTGGAAGTCCCCAGTGTGTTCCCCATTCCTCCCACATTCCTGCCAGCCACTCCTACTGTCTATTTCTATAGATTCCATGGTAGGAAATGGGGATTCTCCACATGGAACCACCAAGTCCCAGCATCTACCTTTCTGCTCTTCTGGAAATGTAGAAGAAGCACATTTTTGAAGTACAACTCAAAATATCAGCCCAATAATAATATTTACCACGGGTCAGACTCCCCAGTGAGCACTTCCATGCATGATTGTTTTATTAAATTTTCACAACAGTGTCTATAAGGTGGGAACGGTGATCGTCTCTTTTGTTTAATTGGCAAAAGTGAGTTTATTAGTCAGCTCTTCGTTGCTGAGGCAAAATATCTCATAGACACAACTTAAAGAAGAGGTTTGGAAAAAATGGAAACAAAGTCTTTGTAAATAGGAAAGGGTGGGGGGGTTGAAGGGAGGGCAGGGGGGACAAGGGGAAAAAATGAGAACCAAGATCTGTCGTGTAAAGGTACAAGGTCCCAATGATGAATGTAACTGTACTGTGTACTTTAAAAGTACCAATAAGCTCAATGAGACAGCAAAACGAAGAAGAGGTTTATTTTTAGTTCACAGTTCCAGAGGGTTCAGTTGATGGTCAGGACGGGTAACCCAAAACAGATATATGGTGAAAGGGCATGGTGGAGGAATGTTGCTCTCTTCACGGCATCCAGGAAGTAAAGAGAAAGCCAGAGGGGTGGGGGACAAAAATACAGCCTTCTAAGTCATGCTTCCAGTGACCCACCTTCTCCAGCAGACCCCATCCCTCACTAGGCATTCAGCTATGAACTCATCACTAGTTTAATCCACTGATGAGTTTAGCACTTCCATGATCCAATCACCTCCCAAAAGCTCTACCTCCAAACACATGACACGTTGGGGAGATATTTTAGATCTAAACTAACACTGAGGCACAGAGAAATGAATTCCTCAGGACTGTCAAAGTTGAGATTTGAACCCAGGTCTCTGAGAGCCGGTGGAAGGAGATAACACATGAATGCAGGAGAGGCGGGTCATCCAACACAGCGCTGATGATATTTCCAAACTTTAGTTTCTTTGTCCTGAACATGAGGATCATTATAAGGATACCTGCTTCCTCAGTGATGCTAGGGGAATATTTAATCACTTCTTAGGAGGTTCTGATACATAGGAAGTGATTCATGCACCTTCGTTACTGTTATCTTTATTGCTTGTCGCTTGAGTTCTTGGAACCCTTCTCATTTTGATCCATCCCTTCTCTAGATTGAGTGCAGAGCTAGCTAGACAACCTCCACTTCCTGCCCATAAGCCACTGGCTCTTTAAAGATGAAAACTTGAGGAAAGCAAATTTTCTGGTTAAGTTGTTGGTGGTATTAACAGCTCCTGTGTGGACGGTATTAACAGTGCTGTCCGGATTCTTGTGGTTTCTATTTCTAGGATAGACTCCAGGTTGGTCACTATGAAGTTATTTTTCTCCTCCCATCTGAAAGCCGACCTTGTGAAGCAAGTTTTTCTAAAGGAGACCTCGAACGCTTCGTCCCACTGGCTGGGTGCCACCTACCAGCTGAAGGACCTACATGTGACAGGTACAAAGCGAGATGGCCAGTTTGGTAGCTGGAAGAAATGGAGCTATGAGGCAGGATGGACCTTTTATAGAAGCAGTTAGACAGGTGGGGGCTCCAGAAGGGAAAAGGGGATTTCTAGGGTTCTATGTTGATGACCTCTGGAAATGAGTCCCCCCACAAGAAGCAAGAAGAGAAAGAAAATGTAGCCCTTGCAACCTAAATAAATGGTTAATAAATAAACTTTCCTGGCCTAAAATGTGAGGATTGAGAGTTGCCTCTTTAGGCAACTGGTTATGAATAACACCTTGATTATTTCATTCATTGAACGAATACTTAGTGAAAGTAAACAGGCACTGGTGATGCAATGTGACCCTTGCTGCGGTAAGAGAGCTTCCAGAGCCTGTGAGAATGCCAAGAGAGGACATACAGCTCTATCTTAGAAAATCCCCTATAGGAAATAAGGATGAAGAAGCTGAGATTCGGTGGGTAAAAAGACCAGACAGACAGAAACAAAGAGGAGCTGTGTTCCGTGTGTCCATAACCTGGCAGGAAGAATAAGAATATGGAATATGTGAGGGAATCTGTCTGCTTTGGTGCAGCTGGAGCACACGCTTTGCTTTGTTTTGTTTTCTCATTGAGTTTATTGGTACTTTTCAAATATACAGTACCATTACATTTATCATTCAGATCTTGTACCTTTACATGACATACCTTGGTTATCATTTTTCCCCATACCCCTGCCCTCCCTTAACCCCCTCCCTTAACCCCTTTTTTTCTCTTTTTTTTTCCTTTCCCTTATTTCCTTTCCCCTACCCTTCCCACTTCCCCTATACCTTTAGCCCTTTTCTTCCTATTTCACACTGTCAATTATACAATTTGGATTTTATTTACACTTTTAGTTTTTCACACCAGAGAAACTATTTGGTATTTACATGTGTGTGTCTTATTTATTTCACTTAGAAGTATATCCTCAAAACATATCCATTTTCCTATGTGACTCTAGTTTCTCATTCTTTATGGCTGAGTGGTATTCTATTTTACAGAAAAACCACATCTTCTTTATCCATTCTCCAGTTGATAGGCAATAGGGCTGTTTCCAAATTTTAGCTATTACAAACTGTGCTGGCTATAAACATATATCACTGTGATATAAGTCTTTTAATTATTTTGGAAGGATACCCACAGAGGGGTAGCTGGCTCAAATGGAACCTCTAATCCTAGTTCTTTGAGGTATTAGAGTATATATACACTTTGATATTGTAAAATCTCTACAACTGCAGCTAAACATATGGAGAGGGATCTTATTGGGCTCTGGAATAGTTTGAGTAGGGACATCACACACTGGGAGTTCTGCTTTAGAAAGTTCATCCCCTGGGTGCTGTGTGGAGATTGTGTCAAAGGGAGGAGGAGGAAGACCAGAGGCAGGAAGATCCATCCGTTAAGAATTTAAGGTATTGACCAGAATCCCTGCAAAAGTAAGTGGCAGGTGCCCAGTGGGGTAGTCAGCACCTCATTTGATGACCGCACTCTAAAGAGACCCACTCTACTCTCCTCTTCCCTATCCTCAGTGAATTCATTTCGCTTGGTGGTTAAAAAGAGAGACAGCTGAGCAAGTAGATGGACGGGATGGATTACAAAGTGAAGGTGTTCAAAAGGGGTCTTCTGTAGCCCACTTTCAAGACCTCAGCTCAGGTCCCATTGCCAGGAATAAGTAGAATGGCTTGAACTTTCTGAAAAACCCCTTTAATGTTGGATTTTAATGGTTTTTACATAATTTTTCTTTTGATTCTAGAAGTGAAGCCAGCCATTCTTCAAGCAACAGAAATGCCACCAGACACTTCCAGCTCCCAACAATTCCAGTTGAATTTCACCATCACCAACCTACCCTATTCCCAGGACATAGCCCACCCCGACTCTACTCCATATCATCGTAACAAGAGAAATATTGAGAATGCAGTGAGTGTGCGGGTGTCTCAACCTGTTCTCAGGCAAAGGCTGACTTGTGACACTGGGTAGTCAGAGGGTGACTTCACGACCCTTCCTGAAGAGAGTTTTTAACTAACATACATTAGTAATACATAATATTCATGTATCTCTGTAGTACGCTGCCGAAGACAGACTCTTATTCCCATTTTGCCAATTAAGAAACAGGTACAGAGAGGCGCGATAGAGTCCAGCTATGTCATACCGTGGACCAGAACATCCTTTGATACATACACCTGAGCTAGTAGTGTATGTGAAAGAAAAAAAGAAAAGATGGGGCTGTGTACTCAGTGATTGCAAATTCTCTTAGCAATTGGACTTGAAGTTCTGGCCTTAAAATGACTGCCTTGTCTTCCAGCTCAACCAGCTTTTCCGAAACAGCAGCATCCAGAGCTATTTTTCAGACTGTCAAGTTTTAGCATTCAGGTGAGTTCTAACTTGTGACCTAACAATTCTAGGAGCTCCTGCTGTACCTTAAATAAAAGCGTCGCTTGCCACAGTATTTCAGGTCCTAGCTGTTATGGAAGACACCCTTGAGATAGAGAGCTGTCACCTAAAAACCAGCCTCTCCCTAAACTGGTGAGCCCAGCTGGCTTAGAAACATGAGATCTTGTGTATCCTCTGTAGACATGGAAATGCCCAATGCCAGGAGCCATTGAGTGTAGCATCCTTGTCTTAAGAAATCAGGCACTGGAGTAGATCCATGAATGCACTAAAATTAACAATATCAAACTAGTTATCTTTGTTTTGCTTCAAATGAGGCTTAGATAAAAACAAGAATCTATTTGGACCTGTCCTCACCAAGGAGGGAAACTTTCAAGAACCATCATAAAAGATGTGACACAAATATATGATGAATGTGTAAATTTTTTTAAATGACAGTAAAAGACCCATTGCTATCAGTCATTGCCAAACGATTCCCCCTCATTTTGAATGCACTTATCCCATCTTCATGCTACTTTTATGAGTGTCTTTGCAACACATAATTAAAAACATGGTGAATGTTGCTGCTGAGTGTCATTCAACAGAAAGGCAGCCTTTGTAGAAATATCATGGTGTGTCCTCATCCACCTTACTGACCAGATCTGGCACTGTGCAACTTCTGGCTCTTTCTCAAAGTTAAAATGACCATAAAGGGTAAATGTTTGAACTGATTCGGGATATAGAGGCAACCAGGACAGAGTGACTAAAGAGACACTGGTGAGAGAGGACTTCCAGAAGGGCTTCCAAGAGAGGCAAGGACGACAGGGTAAGTAGAGGGAAGTGGTTTGAAGATTATTCATGGCAAAGCAGCCTTTACTATAAGACATCTTTTTAAAAATTTAAACATTCGCTGTATTTTTGGATAGCGCCTCATATGTCCAAAAGTTTTGTTCCCTCATCAGATTAAAATAAAGTACCTTCAAAACGGCAGCATCTCACAAGAAAGGTGACGCAGCAGCCCATGGGTGACCTAAATCCCGAGTGATTTCTGGCCACTAGCTGTTGACTACATTTCCCCTGAAACTAGATCTCCAAGCTTCTAAATAACTGGCTACCTAGATCTTTCTGCCATGCCCTTGTCTCTTTTGCATTATTCAACCATCTGTTCCATGTGCTAAATCTCAGGTTGTGTGAAAGTGAATAAAAATGATCTGGAGTACTTAAAATTTTAATCAGCTAAATGGTCCAAGAACACCAGAAACTATTAGGCTAGAAAAAGAAATATTTACTTAGTGTCAGTTAATGATGCTCTGCGTAAGTGGTGGTCCTGAATCATCACACCCAAAGAGAGTTTTTAAGATGTTCGTTCCGGGTCACATCAAACATTGTCATTTATTTAATCTATTCTTGGATGAAGCCTGAGCAAGGATGCTTTGTAAAAGACCCCCAAGCACTTCTGCATTGGAGCCAGCACTAAGATCTTCTCTTTCAAGTAGAAAGATACAGACAAAATGTATAGACTACCCGTGGTGGAAAAACATCAACAGTTGAAGTCAGGTCCACGGGAGATGGAAGGCTAGAGCCAGATGACTCAGAGTCCTGCTGTCCAGTAGGGTGACCATTGGTCACATGGGGCAACTTAAAATTTTATACAGTTTTCGAGGCATGACTCATAAAGCACACAATTCATTCTTTAAAGCTTAAAACTTAGTGGTACGACCATCCTCATCATCTAATTTTCTTCCTCTACCAAAGAAATCCAGTACTCATTAGCATGAAGTCACTTCTCCTAATCCCTAGCAACCCCTAATCTGCTTTCTGTCTCTGTGGATTTGCCTACTCGGAACATTTTAGACAAGTGGAATCATATAGTAACTGTATCTGAATTTTTTTTTTTTTTTTTTTTTTTTTTTGGTACCGGGGATCGAACTTGGGTCCTTGAGCTTGTGAGGCAGGCAGAGGAACCATTGAGCTAAATCCCTGGCCCTTACCTGAGTATTTTACATAAGTGAAATCATGTGGGAATTGTATCTCACTGGCTCCAGTCACTGAGTGTAATACTTTCAAGGTTCATTCATTGTGTATCAGTACTTCATTCCTTTCTAAGACCCATATTTTATTGTATGGGTTGAGTGCCATTTATTTATTTGTTTGCTGAGGGACCCTTGGGCTGTCTCCTCTGTTTGGCTAGTATGAACCAAACTGCTGTGGTCATCATTCCTGAACACAGTTGTTTGAGCCAACTTAGGTTTTCAATTGTTTGGGGCATACCGTGGTATTTGGTATTGTGGTTTCATATCATAACTTTTCATTTCAATCTTGAGAAATGGGGCCCGGGATGTAGCTCATTGGTTCCACCTCCTGCCTTGCAAGCGCAAGGTCCCGAGTTCAATCCCCAGTACCAAAACTAAATAAGTTTGAGAAGCTACCAAGCTCCTTTCCACTGAGGCTGTGATACTTCCTGTCCCCAACAATGTCTCAGAGCTCCTTTCAAATTCTCCACCCACTGACTCGTTTTTGTCCCCTAGTACAGTATTTAATTATGTTTAATTAGTGCAGCATTTAAATAATCACCCAAATAGACGAGAAGTGATTTCACACGAGCCCGCTGGCTTTTACAGCTATTAAGGTTCCGGGATTGCTGCTTTTCAAATCACTGAGCATCTTGGGAGAACAGTATGGGAACAACGCAAGTTGAAATGCTACAGAGCATGTTCTCTTTACCAAGATCCAACTACTATTCCTAACTAAACCCTTCTTAGATCCTGGGCTTCTGCCAAAAAACTTGATTTTTGACCATTTTGCCAGTGTCCTCGTTGGTTTTATGGAGTATTCCGGAAATTCTGCTTCTGCAGGTACGCTTACATGTATTAAAATTAAATTAAATTGGTCATTCCCATTCCTCTCTCATCCTAGCCACATTTTGAGTGTTCAGTCCTAAGACAGGGCTAATGATGACTGTCCTGCAGACATGCAGCAGATTTCTTGCAGACACAGAGCATTTACATCATTGCACAGAGCTCTCCCGGACAGAGCCCGGCCGCAGGGAGTCTGGAATCAGACTTTCAGATGTGTTTGCTCTTCCTTTGTGTGCATGCAGGTCTGTCTCTCATGTCAACCACACTGGAATTGACTCTGTGTGCAACTTCTCACCCTTGGCTCGGAGGCTGGACAGAGTCGCCATCTATGAGGAATTCGTGCGATTGACCCAGAATGGCACCCAGTTGCAAAACTTCACTCTAGACAAGAACAGCGTCTTGGTGGATGGTAAGATGTCCTGGGCTTTGGAGCTGGAACAGGGGCTCCACATTCCTTACTTAGACACCCCAGCGAATCTCAAGCCGGAGTTCTGTGGTGGCATTGAGCTTCTTCAGATGCATACTAGGTAGCATGGTTCCCCCAGGCTTTACTCACCACCAGGGGATAAAACAAGTTGCCCTGTGTGACTCCGGAGGCTCTCTTCCCCTCTTGGCAAGCTCTGACCTCAGACTAGTTACTTTTCCTCTCTTTTTCCTTATGTCTCACTGCACACCACGTTATTTTATGAGATACTCAGTGAAATCCTCCAGCTCCAAGTTATGTGTGATCCAATCTCAATAAACATGCCAGGATGGACATGTTTTCTGACATCCAAGGTGCCTCCAAGGTAGCTGTACCTTGCACATCCAAATGTACTAATTCAGACATTGTATTGTACACCAGGAATATCCCTGGACAGAGTAGCTTTGTGTCCTTGGTCACTCTGATAGTCCAAGAACTCTAGGTTCATTCTGGCACATAATAGGTATTCAACATATCTCTAATGGGAATAGTTAAACCTCGTGTGACATCCCTTTTAGGTCCAGTGTGAATAACAGAGGGACTCCACTGTCTTGTGTGTGTTGTCCTTGGTTCTAAGTTGTACGAGAGAGCACTGCTATCCCTATTCTTATGACAGAAATCAGCAGAACTTTTCTGTAAAAGGCTAGATGATAAATAAGTATGTTGGGTTTCGTGGGCTCTCTATGACCTCTACTGCGTTATAAAAATTCTTTTAAAATATAGAAACAACTTTCAAGTCAAATACTGTCAGCCATGAGCCTGAAGCTTGCCAACCCTACTCTAAATCAATACTACCCAATAGAACTTTCCCATAATGTTCAAAATCAGCACTACCCCATAGGACGTTCTGCAATGATGGGAGTTTTCTATATTTGTGTATGTTCGTCTATTTTCTGATGCTATAGCATAATAACTGAGTCTAGGTGCTTTACAAAAAAATGAGGTTTATTTTGTCCACAGCGTTGGAGTCTGATGGCACAAAATCAGGCAGCCTTGTTTGTTTAGTCTCTGATGAGGTGTTACGGTGCGGGTGCCACAATGGCAGGAGTAATGTGGAAGAAATCACGTAGTGAAACAGGATACTAGATGGATACAGGGAGCCAGACCTGCTCTTTTCACAAGAACCCACTCTCATGAGAACGAACCAGGGTCCCCTGAGAACCACATTAATCCCTTCGAAGGACAGCTCCCAAAGATCTAATCTCCTCCCCCTACATTCTATGTATTAGAGTTCCACCTCCTCAGCATCTCCACACTGGAGATTAGTCCTCTAGCACACAAACTTTTGGTGAGGAGCAGTACACTTAAGCCATATCCAAAGCATATAGTACTGTGCTGTCCAGGACAGTAGCCACGTGTACCTAGTACTATGACTTAGGTGCTGGATTGTTAACCTAATTTAAATTTAAGGAACTATTTTGTATTGGTCCTGCTTGTATTGCACAGCACATCTTTAAGAATTTGGTTAGGGTGGGGTCGTACGTTTAGGGAGCTCATCCACCTATGCCTCTATGCCTGAGGGTTGCTACATACCCCAACTCTGATGAAATTTGTGCTGCCAGTGTCCTGACAGGAATACACTCTGTAGCCGAAATCTGTGTACAGTGGCACATGCCTGTGATGTTAAAGTATGGTAAGATCAAGCCCAGTCTGAATAACTTAGTGAGGCCCTATCTGAGAATAAAATCGAAAGCACTGTAAGTGTGACTCTGTGTTGGAGAACTTGCCTGGCATGTTCAGTCCCCAGCGCTGCTGATGACAAATTATATAATGAGTATCTATCCGTACTTGAAAACGGTCATCCGTGAACGCTTTCTGGAGGAAACTACGCAGAAGGTGAATCTTGGAAGGGTGAGAATGAAATGTTATGGGAAGGGGAGGGGGTTGAATGTGTTTCTAGAGAGAAGAAAAGAATCTTCTTCAGCAAAACTTTACAGATTTCGAGAGACCTCATGGTTGCACAACTGTGATGATCCATGTGCTGCATCCCTACCACGATACAATTCCACCCATGTAGGAACTCCACACCCAGAGACACAGATTGCATTTGCTATGTTCTTGAGGTGTGGTCATGGTTCCGTGATTATGAAGCAAAACGTATTTCTTCTTGAAAATGCACACTAGAGTATTCAGGGCAGAATGTTGTGACGTACCCTCGATTTCAAAATGTCAGGGAAAATATTGGGTGGCGTGAGGGAGGCAAGTGTGACTTGTTCAGAAATCAGATGAAGTGTTGCGTAGAGGGCACGGAACACACCTGGTTAAACCTAAGTGGCGAATGTTTACTTTACGGCTCCCTCGTTTTTCCTGTGTGTCCGGAACATTTTATGACATGGGTGAGGGTGTAGGTCATGAGCTCAGAGCACGTGCCTAGCATGCTCAAGACACTGGGCTCAGTCCTCAGTAGCAAAGAGAAAAATAATGATAAATCCTACTCACGTGCCCTTTCTATTTCATTCATTTTCAGGATATTCTCCCCACAAAAATGAGGCTGAGATTAGCAACTCTGGTAAGCGTCACACAAGCCCCCACCACGGGCAGCAGTGGGGGGAGACAAGCTGATGCTCTGCGTCCTCAAAGAGCACCGCGAGCAGAGGGCTTTGGACCACAGTGGCAGTCAGCCTGCCCATGGCAAAGACTGTTAAGACACAGTGGAAAGCAGGAGGAGTCCTGGCCTACAGGGGGCCTACGTTTGGGGGAGGGTGCTTCAAAGCCATGAGGTGTTCAGGCTAAGCTCCCCTCTCCAAGTTGAGGCTCATCCTCAGGCCACATAGCTCCGAGAAAGAGCCCCGGGATGTGGTAAGTCATGGCTCACCCCCGCATCCGTCTCCCCAGATCTCCCCTTCTGGGCCATCATTCTCATCTGCCTGGCGGGGCTCCTGACACTCATCACATGCCTGCTCTGCTGCTATCTGGTAAGCAGGGAAGGGTCGCTGTCCTCTTGTCTTGGGTTGTGAGAATCGTTAATACAGTCACACCGTATGATGATGTTTTGGCCAAGCACATAGATGACAGGGTCTCTGGCCATAGATCCCATAAGACTGTCGCCTGGTGAGATCACAGCCATCTTAGTTTCCGTAAGTCCGCTCTGCGATGTTTGAATAGTGACAGAATCACCATAACTATCCATTTTTCAGATGTGTCCCCATCAATAAGCAATGCACGTCTGTACACTACAAACACAAGTACTTTGCTGAGTATATATTTTGCAAAAATTTTCTCCTACGTTATGTGTAGCTTGCCTTCATATTTTTTAATTTTATTTTAATTAACAAGTAGTAAATGTATATGTGTATAGACTACAAGGCGACGCTTTGATACATGCATAGATAATGAAGTTACTCAGGTTAATTATCCATCATATTGTTATGTGGTGTGAACATCTGAAATCTGCTCTCCGCAATTTTGAAATAGGCATCATTGTCAATATTGCCTATAGTCACCCTGCTGTGCAACAAATCTCAAAGCGGTAACATTAGTCATTAGAAAAGTATCCACGGAAACGAGAAAGATGTGGAGCAGCTGACGTTCCTGTAAAGCACTGGCAGAGCACAGCTCAGTCATTTTCTAGAGAGTTATACACACTCACTCTGCAACCTGACCTTCCCAGTAATGTATCTGAGAGAAAGGAAAGCATACATCCCCAAATACTAACATTTGTATGCAAATGGTGGTAACAGATTTTTTTATGATAGCCCCAAACTGAAAACAACCATCAACAGGTATATCCCAACACCGCAATACGCTATCCAGCGATGAACAAGGGAGGCATTACTAGGACAACTGATATGCACAAATTGCAAAATAATTATGCAGAATGAAAGAGTTCCGGGCGAAGAAAAGATTGCAGACTCTGTGATTCCATTTGTAAGCTGCAGAAAACATAAACTAATCTGTTAACGATGGAAATCAGATCAGGAGTTGCCTGGGAATCGAAGTGTGCGTGCAAGTGACCAGGAAGGGTTATAAAGAAGAGGAAGTAAGCTTTTAGGAATGATGACTGGGTGTTCCTTATCTTTATAGGAGGGTGATTCAATAAGTTATAATCAAAATCTACCAGTTCATTTGTTTGAAATGTGTGCAATTTATTGTACATCAGTTATGACTTGGTTAAGTTGGGATAATGTGGAGGAGGGACGTGAGGAAGGAGAGAGATAAATGACAGATAAGGTAGATAAGTGGTAAACAGGAGACAGTTACTAGGGCTGGGGATTTAGCTCAGCGGCACTGATTCAATAAGTTATAATCAAAATCTACCAGTTCATTTGTTTGAAATGTGTGCAATTTATTGTACATCAGTTATGACTTGGTTAAGTTGGGATAATGTGGAGGAGGGACGTGAGGAAGGAGAGAGATAAATGACAGATAAGGTAGATAAGTGGTAAACAGGAGACAGTTACTAGGGCTGGGGATTTAGCTCAGCGGCACTGTGCCTGCTTCAGAAGCACAAGGTCCTGAGTTCGATCCCTGGTACCGCAAAAAAAAAAAAGTTATGGGCTGGGGATTTAGCTCAGCGGCACTGTGCCTGCTTCAGAAGCACAAGGTCCTGAGTTCGATCCCTGGTACCGCAAAAAAAAAAAAAAAGTTACTAGATAGAAAGATATAGATGATTAAAAATAAATATATATATATATAATTGATTACTAGGAAGAGAGCAAATATACAATGAATAGATGATAGGAGGATGATATACGGATAAATAATTGATATATAGATGATAGCCGATTAAGAGTTCATTGATTTATGGATACATAGATGATAGGCAACTTTATAGATAGGTGATTGCTGGATGACTAAAATGTAGAAAAAGATGGGCGGTGAGTGATTAACAGAAACATGGATATTAATAAATTGAGGATATAGGGGAGAGAAATGAGGGGGGATATTGGAGGAGAGTATCTGAAAGCAGCTGACCAGTCTGTCCCGATGCCTCCTCTTTACCCTAACAGGTGATCATCTTCCGAAGAAAGAAGGAGGGGGGCTACCAGGTCCAGCGCCACCGCCTGGGCTATTACTTCCCACACTTGGACCTGAGGAAGCTACCGTGACCCCGTCTGCCAGGGGGCTCTTTTATCCCACTCAGGGCCCAGAGAAGAAATAAACCGCACTGGACAGACACAGCCTATGCGCCTTGCTTGACTTTGTCCCAGACCAGTTCCCAGGGGACAAAGTGAGATGTCTTCCTCCTGTGTTTTGTCCTGAAGGCAACTGTTAGTTGTCTTGGGGCTGCATTACTGTGCCATCTGTCAGGGACACCAGAACTGGTGAAACTGGTATGGAAATCGCCATTATCCCAAATCAACATCCCACTTAAATGTGGGATTTCCCTCCTAGTCACCTGCCACCTACCTGCCCTTAATAACGTTACTGCCAGCTGTCACACAGATCTGTCTCTCTATATCTACCCACACCCAGGAGCCCCGGCTTCTCCAACTTTCTCTTACTGCACTTACTGCACTTCTTTCCCTGAGCTCATCCTTACCGGGACTCTCAGCTGAATCCTATCCTGACCCACCATGGGATTCCTGAAAGATGGGAAGTTTCTTTCCAGGAAAGAAAGGAGTGGGTCCGAAATGACTCCACAACCAGCCTTGGAACTTGGGAGCTGAAATAACCAAACATCCAGAAGAGCTGAGTCCAGGAGTAATGCCTGCCATCTAAAGATGTCTGTTTTGAAATTAAGAGGAATAAAATTTGAGGAGGGGCGCCATCTAAGGGGGAAAAAAAAACAGGACTGTCTACATCTTTCCCTGCACTGAATTCAAGTAGACAATCACAGCCGAGCATGCCAGGTGTGAGGCCAGCTGCGCTGTCCTGCTTTCTATTTGTTGGACTCGGTGGCATGATCTATGCATTTTGCAGACCACCACGAGTGATGGTACCCAGTTCTTACCCAGGGCTAAGAATTAAAATTAGAGTAACGCCATCTGTCCAAGCTCTTTTGATGTGGGCTTTGCACCCTCACTCTTCAGCAGTCTACCTCTAAGAATACACTCTGAAGATGATAGTAATGACGATAATAGCTCTCGTGTGTTAACGGCCATCACATTATTAACAACAAGGGCACATTCAAAGAGATGCACCATCTAATCCTACGGGACTGTGGCTGTGCATGTGGCCTGTGGTTGATGGCCTGTCATCACGTGGCACGTGACTGTCTTAAGGTCCGCTAAGCACTGTGGTTGACAAGCGCTGTGTGCATGAACTGTGTTCTGCTCTCCATTTGCTGTGACTTGAATGTGTCCCCTCCAGAATTCGTGCGCGGGAGACTAAATCCCAAAACAAAACAGGAGTAGGAGGTGAGCGGATCCAAAGTGAAGTGTTTAGGTAACGCAGTCTCTGTCCTCATGAACGGACTGTGCTGCTACAAAAAGGGCCCTGCGGGCATGGGGTTTTTTTCTTTTCTCTTGCTTCCTTTCCTTCCCCATGAGGCTCAGCATTTTTCTCCTCTTTTGCTTTTCCACCTTCTGCCAAGGCTGGGGTGGGGGTTGTTGAAGCAAGAAACAAGAAATCCCTCCTTAGAAGCTGGCACCTTGATCCTGGAATTCTCAGCTTCCGAAACTATGACAGAATAAACTGTGCTCTTTATAAATTGTGTGACCTGTGGAATTCTGCTATAGCGAAACAAAGTGGATGTAGACCATCCTTGAGGTCTTTATTCCCACTTAATAGTTAAAAGGATAGATGCTCAGAAATGGAAGGCAACTGTCTGAGTAGTCCTCCATGGTGTGTAAACACCACATTTTCTTTATCCATTCTTCTGCTGAAGGACAGATAGGCTGCTTCCAAGACTGAGCTGTTATGAGTTGTGCTGCTATAAAGGTGTGTGTGCACAGATCACTGTAATATGGTGTCTTTAACTCTTTCAGGGGGGTACCTTGAAAGGGAAGAACTGGAGGAAGGATAAATATGTCATTTGGGGGAAAAAAAAGGATGCACCTTGAGACCATAATGTTTAGTGAAATAATTTAGACATATAAGCTTAAACATCCCAGTTGCTCTTATATGATATTTAAAATATAAATAAAGCTCAAAATAAACGATAGATCACAGGAAGCAGGGAGAAAGATCTTTCTCAGATGGAAAAAGGATCAAAAGATGGAAGAAGAAGGGAGAGAGGTGAGGGGAAGGAGAAGAGAAACAGATTTAGGATGTGTTAGGTCCACGTACCAATTCCCCACAAGGAACGTAAACACTACGGACTGCAAACGTGGATGGATAAGACCTCAAAGACGTAGCAGGTAGCTGGACAGGGAAGGGAAAGAATTACTCAGCACCTAACTTATGACCTCCTACGCTACACTATCTATTAATGAGATAAAAGACAGCTCCAGACACAGAGACCAACTCAGAGTCGACCTCCTGCAGGCCTTCAGTGAAAGAAGAGGTAAACAACCGCAAGCCCAGAAAAACACGTTAGAATAAGAAAACGACTGATAGGAAAGAAAGTAACGTACCTAAATAAATATTCGTTTTAAAGTGAACCACTAAAATGTTGTTTTAAATTTTCTGTAGTTCTCCACACATTTGCAGTCCACAACGATTGCACTGTCGTGGAGAGTACATAACATACGTACGTAACATATCTTCATTCTTATTTTTTGTTCCCTCCCCTCACGTTCCACCCTGCTCCCTCCAATTCTTTTTCCCTGTCCCATCTGCAAAAGCTCTATTTCCATTTTCTCTTCCATTTTCTCTTTGTTTAAAAGTCTGTTTTCCCTTTCCTGCCTCCTTGTCCCTCCATCTCTTGCTCCCCTTCCCACTTGCAAAAGATCTTCCTACCTACCTATCATTTATTTTGCTCGTTATTTATACTTTGGGTGTCTCATCTAAGAGAAATCATGCAATATCTAAACGTGTGCATCAGATCTACTTCACCTGACATCACGGTCTCCTGGTGTGTCCACTGACGTAAATTTTAATGCCTTTCCAGATGATTACCAAATACAAACAGAGAGGACAGATACAGTTTCAAGACAATTCACTTTAGGAAAGATATAAATAGCATAGGTACTCTATTACATCTAACATACTGCCTTCCCAACCTGACAAGTCCAGCATGCAGACGTGAACAATGATAAAGAGGCTTCAAAATTTAGAGCAAACTCAGGGATCGGTCAGACAGACAGACACATTTAAATTCTTGAATTCCAAGCCGGGCATGGTGGCACACACCTGTAATCCCAGCACTAGGGAAAAGTTGAGGCAGGAGGATGGCTGAGTTAGAGACCAGCCTGGGCTACATAGTGAGTTCCAGGTCAGTCTCAACTACATAGTGAGACCCTGTCTCAAAAAAATAAAAATAAATAAATAAATTCTGAAATTCCAACAAACAGTGTCCTACCATTAGATTAATAATGCTGAAAAAAACATTTGTATGCCATTAGCCCCCAAATGTCAAGTTAATTTCCATGAAGCAAATTTCAACACACATAGATCAAGGAAATTAGCATCTGATGTTTCACTAAAAGCAGCTATTAGCTAGTGGAAAATAAGGAAGAGATAAATAATGATAGGTAGACGTCTTATTTGAGGATGCAGTCATAAAAACTCTGAAAGGAAGTGTTATTTTAGAATCTCCTGAAAGGTAACACAAAACTAATAACCCATTTGGGCTATGTCAATTTTATTCCACACTGCATAATTTCATGACTTTGATAATGCCCTCCTGGCTTTAACTGAAATAGGTCCAACCAAGAAATGAAAAGTGCTGTATGATATCATATCTATGAGGAATCTCTAAAAAGTCAAATACATTGAAACAGAGTGGTAGTTCCTGGGATGAGGGGATCGTGAGGTACAGATTACGGGGTACAAAGTTGCAGTGATGTAGAATGAATAACTCTAGATGTTTAATGTGCGGCCAAGGGTTAAAGTCAATGATGTTACCTTGTATAACAGAAATTTGCCGAGAGGGTAGATTTTAGATGCTCTTACTACACAAAAATCATGACTGTACATTGATGGATATGTTATTTGCTTGACAACGATAATCGTTTCAGAGTATATATTCAAAACTTAGTGTCATCTATGTGAAATATATGCAATAATATATGAATCAAACCCAGCACCCTGCACCTGCTAGTCAAGCAGCCTGCTACTGAGCACATCCCCAGCCCTACATAATTTTTTTTTAAAAAATAAATTAGAATGCAAATAAATCACATAAAAGCAAGTGAAAATGGAAGTGTAATGCAAAAAAGAAAAATCATTCTCTCCTCACCTGGAACCCAATCTCCCCCGTTGAAAAGAAACTACGGTTCATATTCTAGTATTGCACTGAGGAGTTTAATAAAGAAAAGTATCAGTGTATGTTAAAGTTCCGAGAGATCAAAGCAAAAAAAAAAAAAAATCGCAGCTCTGATCACTGCAAAATGGTGCTAAAATAAGGTCCTGACCTGCTTCTTCTTTAGTACTTCTCTTTCATGGAGTTTGTCAAGACACCTTTTTGTGGCTTCTTTACTCTCTCTCCTCCCTAGTTAGTCTGCAAGCAGTGCTAGGGCCAGTCTTTCTCTTGCTGCCTCCACTTTTCTTTCCTGTTTCTTAACATCTTCCTCCGTGACCAGAAACTGATGGCAGAGGAGTTGGGGCACACCAAACCCCGTTCCTGGAATCGTCTCTGCCACCTGGGCAGGTGGACCAAGGACGGGCAGAGAGCTGGAGCACACACCACCAGCCAGAGCCTCTGATAGGGATGCACTCGTGCAACTAGGCACAAGTGTGTGCAGAGTTTTGGCAAGGTCTAAAGTACTTAGAAGCTCTCCTGTGCTACTGGAGGCCTGGAGTCCTTGCAGTCTCTTATACAAGCAGACCTGTTGGGGCTTGTCTAAATTCGCCTCCCATGGATGGTATCTGACCTCATTGTCTGGATGGGATGTAATTCTTGTAACTGGCCTCTTGATTGCGTAACTTGACATTCTCAAGGGGATTGAGATGCTGAAACGAGACTTTGGTTTTGATTGGTTTACGCAGTCGCGTTGCTTCCTCTGTGAAGTCTTGGCCATCATACTTCTTTTCCTCTTACCCTATTAGACATAAATGGTGAGATGAGATCAAAATTTCCAATGAGGCCTGACTTCTTGTATTACCTGTGTGGCACTTATCGGAGGTGATTATCTCTGCTCTTTCCAAATGCTACCCTTCTCTCCTCCTCTGGGGCTAAATCTGACGGGCATCTTGGGACATCAATAAGCCAATCTGAATCAAGCTCAGACAATCCAAGTCCAAACTTTCCTCTGTCATCTTACAGAGCACACTCTCCTCTTATTGTTTTATTTTCCGCTGTCCCTGTCAATGTCAACTACGTGAAACCCCATCTCTCATGACACATGGTCTGCAGTGTTCCTCTAATTCCCCAATTCTGCCCTTCCTCTGCTACTGGACTATTCAGTCAGCTGGCCCATTGTCCTTTTGGTTTTCACAGCTCCTTTAGCACATAAGTCAAAATGAAATTATCAGCTGCCCCATGCGTACAGACTCACTTCCAACCCCTGACATTTCATCAACCCAAATGGTCATGCCCAAAAATAAATGACATAGAAAACATAATGGCCAGCTACAACTTTCTGATTTCTGGCTTTTTCATGCAAACACCTATAAAATAGACACCTTTCCTTAAGAACAAGAGTTACTCCCAACTATATATCTTCACCTTACTCTTTTGTCTTTTTCTAAATTAACATATACTAATTGTGCATACAGTATTTATATGGTACATCATGAAATTTAATACATATATGCATTTCGCTGTGACTGAGTCCAGGCAATCAGCAGTACCACCTCCTTCAATATTTATTGCTTCTTTGTGTTAAGAATCTTCACATGCCTCTCTTCTGGATTTTTGGGGGGGTACGTTGAGACAGGGTTTTTCTGTGTGGCTCAGGCTGGCCTCAAATTCACGGTCCTCCTGCCTCAGCTTCCCAAGTGCTGGGATTACTGGCATGTGCCACCAGCCCCCATGCTCATTTCTTCTTGGTTGTTTATAAAATATTTAATAAATTATTATAAATTGTAGTCAACCTGCAGAACTATGGAAAACTGGAACTCATTCTTACCAATGAAAGAAAACTGGGGCAGATGTTGATGAACTTACTGAATGTGTAACCAGAAATCTCTTGGAAAGAAAGGCTACGTACATTCCTGTCTTCCTCTTCCCCAATACCCCACTGGCCCTTAAATATTAAAGACGGTTAATAATGAGATCACTAAAACTCACATCTAGGAACAGAACAAAAGACAAGAAAGGTTGGGCCGGGGATTTAGCTCAGTGGTTCCGCCGCCTCCCTCACAAGCACAAGGACCCAAGTTCAATCCCCGCTACCAAAAAAAAAAAAGAGAGAGACAAGAAAGGCTAAGGATATTTTTAGTGGACAGAAATGACAGCTTCTGCTGGGCTCTGGCGGTGGTCTTAACTTAGACTGTGCTTTCTCTATTCGAGGCTGTGAGCTAAAACAACAGGCCTGCATGAAATCTATCGAGTAGGTAGCAAACACTGAAATCAGTCAGATCAGTTCTTTTTCTCCTTTGTACCAGACTTCAGGTTGTAAACATTATTTTCTTCCTTAAATTGCCTGCTACTGCCGCTTGATTAGTGGTGTCGACTGTGTCTGTGTTTTGGACAAAATAAACTAACCAAGTACTGCACCATTTCATCAATAACAGCAAGGAGGAGGAAGGGAGGGAAGGGGAGAATAACAGGGCCCTGGAGATGATCAAAGTATGTTACGTGCATGCAGGAGACATGTGGCGGTGCATTCCTGAAATCCTGGCACTCTGGGAGGCTGAGGCAGGAAGATCACAAGTTAGAGCCCACCCTGGCCAACTTAGCAAAGTAGTGAGAGCCTGTCTCAAAATTAAAAAATAAAAAAGGACTGAGGGTATATAGCTCAGTGCTAAGGCCCTGGCTTCAATCCTTGGTAACACAAAGAAAGAAAAGGAAAAGAAAATGCCACAATAGTCCATGTAGCTAACAGGCATCATTAAATAATGTATATCGGGTGTGACCAAAAATGATGAATGTTTAAAAATAGTTCATTACAGTAAAATAGCCGTGGCCATTAGCCACCCTCAAAATCCTCCCCGTCACCTCCAGCACATTTATCTCATCATTTTGCCACTTTCTGACAGAGCTCAGATGTCCTCTCTTGTGAGTACCCTTTCATGGCTGCCTCGATGTCCTGCGCTGATTCAAAATGTTTATGGGAATTTATGCCAAATAAAAACGTTATGGTGCATCCTCACCCAATGTATTCACTGGCCACAGCACCGAACAACTTCTGGCCATTTCCCAATAGCAAAATGACCATGAAAGATAAATATTTTGAATGGATTCAGGACCTCTGAAACGATGCGACTCAGGACACTCATGAAAGGATTTTCAAACCAGCTCCAGAAAGTGACAAGAACTATAGGATAAGTGTGTCCTTGAAGTGAGGGGAGATATTTTGAGGTAGATGAATGGCAATATGTCTTTTATTGCAATACATTTTAAATTAAATATTCATAATATGTAGCTCATCTATAACTTGTTCCCGTGTATAAATGTTTCACTACCCAGTATCCAACCAACCTCCTGTAAGCCTTGGATTCTGTGGTCCATGGTCTTCATGATGCCCTTGAAATAATTCAGGATTCCTTACAACTCATCTTACCTGCCCTGTAAAACCTCAAACCTGGATGATTGCTGTCTTCTACCATTTCATAGTTACTGTCAGTTTTACGGAAACTGCTGAAGAAAAAGCACACAATATGACATTTTGGTACCACTATAAAGTAAAATATTCCACGTCAACTGGGAAAGATGCATAATACCTGGAAATGTCACTCTTTTTATGTGTTGGCAAATTGGCTCTTCAAGTTTTTCCCTAAAGACTCTTTCAAATGTTCTCATTTTTTTTTGTTACTCAGATAAATACCAGTTTCCACAAAACTTGCCTGATATTTCACAAGGAATTTGTAAACTAGCAGATTGAAATTTTAGGGGTCTACGTGCCAAATCTGCAAGCTTCTATTGTAAATTTTCCTCTCATTATATAGAAAAATATTTCTTTTATCCTCCAATCAGTCTTGTTCTTTTCTTCCTTAGTAACTCCATGCCCCCAATATCCCAGCACAGTCCCTGTATCTTCAATGTCTCTTTTTCTACTAAATCCTTCATCAGCATTTAAATATGTTTAAATTTTTCTCAGCTATGCAGAAACCTCATGCCTAACCTTCTTAGGAACTCTCTTCAACTACCACTTTCTATTTATTCCCCTTAGCATAAACCATTGGGAGAAAAAAATCTATACCATATTTCTGTGACTTCTTACCTCTAACCCACTGCTGAACCCATGCCAAAGTTCTAACTTCTTTCAGCATTCCATGGATACTCCCCTGGATAAAGTCACAATGCCCCTTTGTTATTACACTCCAAAGGAACTTTTCATTAATCACCTTGCATGCTCTTGAGGTAGAAAAACTCATATATATTTGGAATGACTTTAATATATGAGTGTTGTTTTATAGCTGGGTATCTTATAAAATCTCTCTAAGAGTGTCTCTGTCTGACCAAAGTCAGCTGACAAACAGATGTGGGGTAACTGGAAAGTATAAATTACATTTCTGAGTGCAGCACAAAAACAAAAATAATGTGACAATGCACTGTGTGTCTCCAAAAGTGAGAGGAAGCTGGGCATGGTGGTGCACACCTGTCATCGCAGCACTCGGGAGGCTGAGGCAGGAGGATCACTGTGAGTTCAAGGTCAGCCTTGGCTGCATGGTGAGTTTACAACAATCAGCCTGAACTACACAGTGAGATCCTGTCTCAAACTAAAAAAAAAAAAAAAGTGAGAGGATTTTTAATATTTTCACCATATACAGTTGTATTGCATGTTCGTATGTGAGTAAATCTGTCAAGAAAAATAATGGAATGGAAAATAAAGTAAGTGGGACCAGTGGATGTGAGAGAGGCACTCCTTCAAGTTGAAGGATCAGAAGAGGTACATGGGGTAGCTTGTGACAGGGAACTTCAGTGTGGGTACAATTAGTCATCATAATTTAAGTATTGCATATTCGTTGAATAAACCTGATACAATACTACAAAGGTCAGTAGGCGTATTGTGGTGGAAAACTGAATTATGCTACTTCAAACCATATGGCAGTTGTTATGGACGGAATGTTTGTTCCCTGCAACAGTCGTGTGTTGAAATCCTATCCCCACAAGATGTGGTACCAGGAGGCGGGTCTTTTAGGAGGTGCTGTCATTAAGCCCTGAGGAGAGCCTTTCTGAGTGGCATGTGCATGTGAGCCTAACCAGTCTTCTAGGGTGGAAAGCCCAATAAACACTTAACCTTGTAGCAGCTGTGCTAAAAATGAGTGCTTCCAGAAGAATGATTTGAAGCACTACTGGACTCGCACAAGCAGCTGTCTGTGTGGTCATCGCTTTTGTCTGAATCTAGCTCCGCTGTGCTCTCTGACCGAAGTCCTTTGCTCCTCCAGGCCTCTCAGGCTGTAGCTGAGCGTGGAAGTAATGAAGCTGTACAAGAGAGACACTGTGGGCTCGTGTAAGCACCAGGCACCGTGTACATGAACACTGCTACACCTTAAGAGTCCCATCGTGGTGGTGGTGTGCGAGGAGCGGTGGTAAAGGCCTTATTTCGGGCCGCCTCTGAGCGCATGCGTAGAACAGCCCTCAACCCGTGGCCATAGGAGGTGGCAACTAGGGACAGGGGCAGCAGGAGGATCAGCACCCGGACGGTGGACAGCGCCACCTCACCCCCAGAGGCAGGCGTCTAGAGGAAGAAATAGTCTGTGATGCAGGAGGCACGGGAGGGCAAGTGCAGGGTGATGGGGGGGTCCGGACGGAATCACTGTACACGCCCGCCAGCCAGGAGGAGCCTACCATGAGCTGGAGCCTCCTGTGCAGGGAGTAGCATGTGGCAGTATAGTAATCACAGTATGTGGGGACCGGCAGGGCATCAATGGCGGAAAAAATATTTGAGCTGCACGATCCCCGAAGGAGAAGAAACCTTCCCCTGGTGGGCAAATCTGATACCACCTTGGGGGTGGTGACCAGAGCGAAGCCAATGTCAAGGTTAAGCAGAAACTACCTGGGTGTGGGGGCAGGAAATTCATGATGATGAAGAAGAATAAGAAGGTGTTGCCCAAAACTCCGGTAAAGAATTTAACAACAGCGGAAAGAGGAGCCACTGATGTGGGCCAGAGAGACTGGAAAGCCCACAAGAACGAGGTCCAGAGCCATCAGTTGATTTACACCTCCCGTGCTTCATGCAATATGCCTTCACCGCAGGAAGAACAGAAAACCTCTGGTAAGGAGCCTGGGGGAGAGAGGCAGAGTTGTTCCACCTTGTGCCAGCTACCAGTGCTTGGAATGTTTTCCTGATTTAAGTAGAAAAATATGCCCTGATCATTTATCTTCTTGTTAGATGAAATTATGCAGCAAAATCTTTTGTGTGTTCTATTTACTCAGAGTCAGGAGCCCTCCACTGGGAAATTGAGCAGCCTCCCTTGTCTGTCCTTGCTGAGTCTTCCCAGCTCCCTCTCCCAGGGCTGCCACAGCCCCGCCTCCACAATTCCAGATCCCCTCTCCCCATAATTAGAGCACACACTGTGTACTGGAAGGGAAAAAGGCCATGGCTGGTGCTCTGTCCGGGAACATCCCGGTAAACCAGGGCAGGGGAAAAGCTCTCTGCTTCTTCAGGAAGGATTCCGCCAACAGGAAGATCACTAAATACTTTTCCCCCGTTCTCCCCTCTGCACTTACCAGCATACAAACACCATGCATTTCAGTTTTCACATTCGTTTTTCACTCTGCCTGCTCACTCTACAGTTAAAAGCCCCATCCTCTGAGCGAAGGGAATTTAGTCTGCTATGTTCGGTCTATACTCCTAGGTATTAAAACAGTGATTTAATGGGCACAGTAAGCATTGATTCCGTGAGTAACTACAGCATTCATACACGTGCACAAATGTTCATACATGTACACAGTATATCTGGAAGGATGCGGAGCAAGCGATGGTTATCTCTGGGCAAAAAAGATTGAGAAACACTAGTAGGAATGAGAACATCTTACTGACTTTGTGCCGCTGTTCGAAGTTTTCCTATACATTTATCTATGACTTAATCCCCTCCTGCGCCCCTGAAGCTCTTAAATTAAGATGTCCTCTAGAATCTTATTAAGAATTTTTGCATCTGTATTCATTAAGGAGATTGGCCTGTAGTTCTCTTTTTTAGTTGGGTCTTTCCCTGGTTTGGGAATCAAAGTGATACTTGCTTCCAGGAATGAATTTGGAAGTATAGCTTCCCTTCCAATTTTGAGGATATACTCCTAAGTGAAATAAATAAGTCACACACGTGTAAATACTGAAGTTTCTCTGGTGTGAAAAATTATAATAGCACATAAGATCCTAATGATATGACTGACAATGTGAAATAGGAAGAAAAGGGCTAAAGGTGTAGGGGAAGCGGGAAGGGTAGGGGATAAGGGAGAAAATATATGAGAAAATGGAAATAAAAAGTGTTTGTAGATGGGGAAGGGAGGAGGAGGTGAAGGGAGGGCCAGGGACAAGGGGAAAAAATGAGAACCAAGACCTGTCACGTAAAGGTACAAGATCCCAGTGATGAATGTAACTGTACTGTATACCTAAAATGTTCTAATAAACTCAATGAGAGAGAGAAAAAAAGATATCTTCTGCCTTGGGAAAGCCAAGTTGTGGAAATGTGCATATATAATCTAATTTTATTGGGCTGTGTGATCCGGAGAACAGGCTGAAGAAAAGTTGTCTGTTAAGCACACAGCTAGAGATCCAAGGAGTCTCCCCTCCACCTTCCCTCAGCTGATCTCTAACATCCCAGCCCCCTGGGACTATACTAACCTCCATCTCACAACCCACACCAAGCCCTGTCCTCATCCCTGGAATTGGTCTCCCCCTCCTACCCCACCCGCAGCGCTAATCTCCGCCCACATCCAGGCCCACCCACAGCCTGATTCCAACCAATCGCTCCCTCCTCAGAACTGGTCTCCGCCCACATCCAGCCCCGCCCAAAGTCCCGCCTCCAGAAATAGTTTCTACCCATAGTTAACACTGTCCATGGCTGGCCACGCCCACCTCCCCGCCCTCACAACTGGTCTCCGCCCACTGTCAGCCCATTTAGGCCCACATCCTGTCCCTTCTCACAGCGGGGTTAGAACCAACCCCTCTTACAGCGGCTGGCCTAGCCGAGGGCCGGATCTCATTAAGTGCTAGGCTCCTAGAACACCTCCGCTTGAGAAGGGAGTGGGCGACCCCCTCTCCCGCTCATCTCACCCAGCCCAGTTCGAATCCCGCCCTCCTGAACTGACAGTCAGAAACCGGAAATAAGCCGCGGGGACGGCCCGCCCACGGCCGGAAGCGGAAGCGCGGAGCCTTACTGTGGGAGGAACCGCGGGTCGCGCGCGTCCGGGCGAGTCAAGTTTCTCAGCGAGTCGGAGCCTTTGGCCCCGGAGGAGGGGCTGGACGCGGTGAGCGGCAGAAGGGGGCCCGGGTAGGAATCCGGAGAGGGGCCTCGGGCATTCCCAGCCGCGGGCTCGGCGTCCTTCTGTCCTTTAAGGAGCACCTTTCCCTGCCCTGAGGCCTCGGGCGCTCCACGGGTTCTCTCGGTCAGGACCGGCGCCGGCGTCTCCACTGCGGGGACCCCTGTGGCCCTCACCGGGCCCCAGCCCTCAACCCAGGGGACTTGACTGAGCCTGGACGTAGTTTTTTGCTTGTCACAGATTGGGGGCGGGGACCGGTGCTGCTGTCATCTAGCGGGTGAAGGCCAGCGACTCTTATCCACATCGTACCGTGCACGATGCACCGCCCCACAAAACTAGAATTATCTGTGGTGCCGAGGTTAGGAAGCCCAGCTGAGGGGCTTTAAAATCCCTGAAGTTCCGAGTGAACTCTATAAGCTCAGTCACTTAGAGGACCGCCAAGTAACAAAACATGTTTGCAGTGTCTATAGTCATTAAAAACAAACAAACAAACAAACAAAAAAAACTCCAGTCAAATGAGCAAGTCAAATAATACACCTAACATCAACTTGCTTTCTCCCATCTTGAGCACATGCCCAAGAATCAGGTAAATCCAGTCCCAGCCAATAGGCTGGGCTCTCTACTACATTAAATCAGTAAATACAAACACAAAAAGAAAAATTGTTCTGCATTTAACAGCAGTGGTATTACTCCCTTTATAAGGCATCAAAAACAATCTTTGTTCCTCCTCTTTTTTTTTTTTTCAGACAGCCAGAAGCTTAGACCTGGGTGGAAACCAGTATCACAATCCACCCACCCGTTCTCACTGATTCGTGGATTTATTGTGACCAGGTGAGTGTACCTTGTGGAACTTGGCAACACAGTGTCCCCGCA